TGCATTGGGGCCGGGGGGAATTATTTTGAGGGGGACGAAACAGATTTGGAAGAATAAATAAAGATTTTTCATTTTATAAAAAAATTCACCTTACTTTTTGATCACAGTAGTATATATATATTAAGCCACTGCCTAGAAGGTGTTTTTTTGGAAAACTACAAAGAGTCACCCTGGAATTTGTTCATTGCAATATAAATAACAAGAAAAATATAAAATTAACTTTGTTTAATTTATATTCAGATTAGAAAATTGGTTCAATTATTTACCTTTAATTGAATTTTTAGCCATTTTGACATTTTTTTACAATATCATAACTTTTATAGCCTTTCTATTTTTACTGAATATTAATTTATCAACACTAAACAATTAGGAACTTAATTAGAATAGTTTTTATTTTCCATTTTTCATAGCAAGCAATTTAATTAAATTGCACAGAAAATTACAAATTTAGATATTCATTATAAAATAATCACATTTTTTTACATTTCTCTTATTTTCATTTCGAATTTGGTTCTTTTCCAAAATGAATTTGTGTCTCTTTTTTTGACCATAAACCTCCTTAGCAGCTTCGGAGGTTAGTTTTACGGCTCTCTCAACGGATTGAGAATTATTAAGAAAATCAGGCAAAGTTTTTGTCCAGATTCAAATGCCTCTAAGTTTTTCTGAAGTTGAACTATGTGTTGCTGGTGGCTCAATCTGAATCTCATCAACAGAAACAAGAAAATCCCAAGAACCAGCATCAAAATTTATTTTATCACCAATTTTAGCTTGAGTTTTGAAACTTAATTTTCTCATTATAAGAATTTGGTTAAGAGTATGATTTCTTATATGCATACTTTAGTCCTAATTTTTCTGCAAACAACAGTATGAATTTCCATGGAGATTGGTTAAAACGATACTTTGAATCCTGCTCCCTTGAAGCTTGGCCAACTGAATATTTTTATATAGGAGTAGACAAGCATCTTTGTATTGTCCAGAGTGCTTGATAGCAAACCACATTGCAAAGTAAACTTGCACAATATACTTAGTTACTGCTAATAACTCAAGAGATGGCTCCTTAGTCCTTACATATAACATCATAATTCTGAGAGCTAAAGTTAGCCATCTAGCATGGCAAACTGGTCCAGTTTTTTAAAACAAACTTTTCAGAAATAAAACCTTTTGAAATACCAACGCAATACTCATAGAGTTTGCGCTGGTCTTTACTAAGATCACTATTAATCTCTCTGTTAATAAACAACTCTATCTCTGACTTTATGGATACAAATTGAAACAATAGCTGTTCATGAAGAGTTAGATTAGATGCAGCCTCCCCAATTGGCCCTTTGAAAGAATTAGGACTAACTGTCTTTCCATCTAATTCTAATATGTGCCGCAGTGGCAGTTAATTCTGATGCAGCAAACATCCTAAAAGGTGTAAGTTTTTATATTTTTTTCTAGTTTGACAATGAAACCATTATCACAACCTGTATTTGAATTTGTATTATCTAAAATAACCGCTATTAAACTCTAAACTGTTATATTCAAGTAAAACATAAGCAGTAGCAATTGCCATAATTGCACCAATGCCATTAGGTATAACTACATGACTCAAATAACTTTGTGATGTGGATCCACTCTTTGCTGTAAATGTTAGATGGTATTCTTCTTTGATTGCAGCAACAATGACTGGATCTCTATTAATGTTATACCTGATAGAATGTGTTAATGTAGATTTGTCTTTTTTTCCATCAACTCCAATAACCTCTAGTTCTTTAACGACAGCTAAATGTTCAGAGCTTATGATTCCTTTTATTTCACCCCAAATTTTTTTTTTCTGTTATTATTTGCGCTTTATTACTTTCTTTAACAATTCCATAGTCAATTAATACAGCTGTTTCCAATGCAGCTCTTGTAACATCGCTTATTTCAAACCTAATAGCGGCTTTTGCCAAGTTTGTTAGATAAGTTTGATTTCTTTTAGTCAGGATCTGTTTCTGTGTCATTTTTATTATCTAAATCACTACCCATATAATGATCTGCTCATTAATTTCACAGTCTTGCTTCCTTTTTTCTTTGGCAACTGCTTTTTTATCCATCATACCAATTTGAAACTATCCAATAGTAACAAAATTAATTAATATTTTCTATCTGATAGTAGTACCTAAAAAATTTAAAACTTTTTTTAATTGCAAAACATAAAAGTTATAATATATGTTTAAGAAAAAAAAGTTACACGTTTAACTGTACTTTTACAATTACTGTACACCAAGTCAATTAAAAATAAATATATTATGAAGACATGTAAAAGTCAAATAAAAAAATACATATATAATATATTATTGTGTAATATTACAACAATATGTTTCTTAATAATATTATATAATATAACAAAATGATCTGTTGCCAAAGTCAAAGAAAAGTAATTATGTTTTTTTTTCTGACATGCTTTTGATTCTGACTACTCAATATTTAACAAACTATAGATTTAAATTAACCTTTATAATTCTAACTTATTTATCTTTTTGTTAACTTCACAGAGAAAAGCAAAATGTCTTGTCTTGTAATCTGGTGGGTACACTTCACAAACCTATAAAAATGTTTAAAGTATAATTTAATAATCCCCCAAAAAAATTTAAATGAAAAGTATTACTGCAAATCTTGAAATTATTTTATAATATTTTTATTTTATAATGATAATTATCTTAAAACATATTAAAATAAAAATACCTATTATTACCTTATATTGCAAGCTACTACTGGAAGTCTACAATTACATTACGACAAATCAAATAAATGCTCAAAATTACAATCAAAAAACTCTTTGTTTTTATTTGCATTTTTGAATTTGCCTTTTGCAGACAATACTTTGATGAAAAGTTTTTTGACTACTGACTTTTTACTGAAGTTTTTTGGTTATATCTAGTATATCAGAGCTTAGGATTTACTCTAATCCACGTATTGAAAAGTCACTGGCAACTGTTGTGCCAACACAACATATTGAAAAGGTCACTGGCAACTGTTGAAACAATCTTTGGATAACTATTATTTTTGACACTTTTTATATTTTTTAAAATAAAGTAGCAAAATTAAACCATTTGGAAGATCACTAATTGGAAGGTCAGGTGGCAAACCAGCATATATCTTGTTTTCATTACGAGTTCTTAAATTTTTTATTGTTTTAGACATAAAGGTGTAATATAAATATAAAGGTATAATATAAATATAAAGGTATATAACTTATATAACTTTTAAAACCAATTAATTTAATAAAAAAAAATAACTTTTTTAAATAAATAATAATTTTTGCATCAATCAAAAATTTAAACAAAAATAAACTGCAAATACATTTATTCTTAGAATCTAATAAGTTAATTAAAAAGTAATAAGTAACTAATAATAAATGATAACTTATATTAAGTAATAGTTTGTTCACATTAAGTAATAGTTTGTTCACATTAAGTAATATTTTGTTCACATTATTTCTAGTGTAAAATAAAAAGTATAAAATAACAACAAAATTTTTGTTTTCAGTGAAAACAAAAATTACCGCTAACTATGACTTTGTTATTCTAATTATTAAGTTTCAATATTATAAATGCCCCTTGTCTCTAAATTCTATGAATCACAAATTTACTTAAATTGATAATTAACTTTTGCACGTTTATTTTTCTTAAAGTCTATATACTTATAGTATAAGAAAAAATTCCAGGGTGACTCTTATTATATCTGTAGTTACTTTTATTATATATATATATATATATATATATATATATATATATATATATATATATATATATATATATATATATATATATTAGGGCTGTACCGAATTTCGGCTCCGGCTCCTGCTCCGGCCGAAATCCGGCCATTTTTACAAATCCGGCCCAAATCCAGCTCCGGCAAAATGTTAGCAAATCCGGCATAATATTGGCCGGATTTCTGGATGTTTATTACATCTCTCTTACCCGTGATAACATGTATACATAATACTTAATTTTTGAACTTCATGTTTGTTTTGGTATCTGTATTTAATCAACTCATTAGATGAGCGTTTCAAAGGCATTGAGGAGAAACCTTTTTAGATTGAAAAAAATAAAGAAACCCAGCAAAACAATCCCGGCTGGATAATTCTTAT